AAAGGTAAGAGGGCCATCAGCTCCAATGCAAACAATTCAGAACAACAATACACTGAATACAGGATAGGCTTTACGCAACTTGACAAGAACTGGAAAACAGAAAGGACTTGTGCCTAATCCAGTGAACAGTAACAGTAAAATAAGGCTCCATTCCTTTCTGATAGGCTTCACCTCCTCTCATACACCATAATTATAACTATTGAGAGAAACAATTATTTTTCTTATATTAATAGCCAATTCTTAAAAGCAGAGAGACCCAGGTTTTTTTCCCCTGTTCTATTTCCTAGTCTAATCTCTCTCTGCAGTACAATTTGAATGCTTGGTAGTTTAGTTTGAGAAAGGACCTCAGAGTCTAGTATCTTAACCTGCCAGATGATCTGCAGAGTCTTCCTAAGACAATTCAAATGGAAGCAATTCAGTTTCCTGGCATGGTGCTATTATACTGTCCAGTTGTCACAGGCATATAACAATGAGGTCAGCACAATAGTTCTGTAGACCTTTAGTTTGGTACCAGACACTAAGTTCTGTTCTCACACCAAACTCCCAAGCATTCAAACTCTACTGCAAGGAGCACAACTCCGATAGGCTGGCCACGTTGTTTGAATGCAAAATGTACGCCTGCCAAAAAGATTATTTTATGGAGAACTCAACACAGGGCAAGCGCTCACGTGATAGTCAGAAGAAGCAATACAAGGACACTTTCAAGGTCTCTCTCAAGAACTTTGGAATTTATTGTGTGACATGGAAGATACTTGTACAGGACCACCCAGCATGGCATGCCCTTCATCAGAGAAGGTACTGTACTCTAGGAGCAAAGTGGAATTGAAGTAACTCAAAAGAAACATAAGATGTTCAAATTCAGAGAATCCACCCCAAATATTAACATGGACTATTTGTGCCTGACCTGTGGTACAGTATTCTGAGCTAGTATTGATCTGATCAGCCACAGTAGGACACATTGTAACTTGACTCTAACATAGTGATGTCATTTTGGTCCTCTTGCTAAACAAGGACAATAACTGACCAACTCCACCCAACTGGATCAGACTTCTGATCTAAGGTGAAACTCCCTTCTGCTCAGCCTGGGGTGGGGGATAAATTCTTTGAATAGATTGCCCAAGGCTGGGGATAACTTAGAAGTAAATGACATAATCAAAGCTCATTAGAAGAGGTTCAGCCCCTCATTGTAATATTCATTCTCTCATTAATTGTTAACCAATCAGAGTTGATTGCCATCCTCAGGAACACCCCTTTTCCAAGGGATATAAGCCATGAGCTTGCTGCCATTACTGGCTTTGGTCCAAGAGAGAGACGTCCAATTGACCAACCTTTTATTAATAGACATTCTGGCATTATTAATAAAATGATTAAATTTCCCAGAAATTATGTCCCTTGAACTTTTCCAATGCCACACTATTCTTGGGTTGAGTTTTCCCTACATTAAGAAACCACTTGAGTTGCCAGAATTAATCAACCCATTCTTCTGGTGAGCCTCACTTCCCTTTGGGATCTACACAATCTTCCTGACTTATCACACTGCTATGTGATTATGGTTTCCCTGAAATGAGATACTTGGGGTTATTAGAGAGTTGACTCCTTGCTTCTTAGCCCAATGTAATCCATATACATCATTGTATCAATAAAAGGGCAAGGTCCCCATTTGCTTCTCCATACCATGATGCTGTCTCTCGCAGGTCCTGAGCTTCAGCTCTTGCTTGGCCTTGTACTTCTTGGTTAAGAGACCTAGAATTCCTACTCTTCTCTTCAGGAGACATCATAAGCCAGGACCTTTGCATCACCCAAGAATTCCGTGTTTGTGTGCATCCAGGAAGCTCAGTTCTAGAATAGTTCAACTATTTCTATGTTGGGGTCCATGAAATAATTTTACTTTGAGGTCTTCCTCTTTAGAATATGAGATTCATGAAGACAGGGATCATATTTTTGCCTTTCTAGGTATCTCCAACACTTAGCACAGTTCCTGTGCTTAATAATCAGTGCTTAATAAATAAATGTTTGTGGTTGACTGATTAACTTGTAAGGGAAGGTCAATGCCACTTGACACATAGTAGGTACTTAACAAAGATTCATTGGTTGGGCAGGGATAAGATAGGATGCCTCTTATAACCCAGTTTTCTTTTCTTTCTTTTCTGCACTATCTTGTCTTAGAACTCTGTTAGAGGAGGTGGAGTCAAGATAGTGGGTTAAAGGCAGGGACTCACCTGAGCTCTCCCCCAAACCCCAAATACTTTTAAAAATGGCTCTATTCAAATTCTAGAGCAGGAGAACCCACAAAAAGATGGAGTGAAACATATTTCCAGCACAAGACAACTTGGAAGTTTTGCAGGAAAGGTCTGTTGAGAGAGGAGTGCAGTTTAGCACAGGCTGAGCCAGTGCAGATGGGACCCAAGCAAATCAGGAACAGGCCTTGGGAGTGACTGAATTAGCAGTGGCAGTTGGAATGGCAGTGGCTTCCATAGCTCTCAGCCCACAGACTTTAAGGGGGTTGAAGAATTGGTCAGAAGGAGATTTCAGGGACCTTTTTGCTAGCACCAAGGAAGGACTCTGTTACTTTGCCCATACTTGGATCAAGGTCCTGAGTGGCAGTCCCAGGGTGAAGAAGCACACTAGAATAGCAGAGCTTGCATCCACAGCAACGGGGGGACCCTCGTCACAGTTTCAGGGCAGAAAAGAGTGCTTATGGTTGCTCACAGACCAGAGCACAGGCCAGGAGTGTAGTAAACACCTCTCCTTAGACCATACCATCTTGGAAGAACTGAAAACTTACAGGTACCTAGAAATATCTCTGAAAATAGTATCATAGAGCCACAGTCAGGATAATATAAGATTTAGCAGCTTCTACATTAAAGGATCTGAGGACCTGGGATATGATATTCCAGAAGGCAAAACAGCTAGGATTACAACCAAGAATCATCTACCCAGCAAAACTAAGTAGAATCTTTTGGGAGAAAAAGAGAGGACTTTCAAGTATTCTTGATTAAAAGACCAGAGCTGAATAAAAAATTTGACTTTCAAAACAAAACTCAAGAGAAGCATAAAAAAGTAAACAGTAAAGGAAAATCATAAGGGACTTGTAAAGACCTTTCTCATTATTAGGGTAGTTAGAAGGAGCATATGTCGACAGAGGGCATAGGTATGAGTTGAATATGAAGGGATGATATCTAAAAAATAAAATTAAGGAGTAGAAGAGGAATGTACTAGGAGAAAGAGAAAGGGAGAGGTAGAATGAGGTAAATTATCTCACTTAAAGGAGGCAAGAAAAAGCTTTTTCAGTGGAGGGGAAGAGGGGGGAAGTGAGTGAGAGTGAGTGAACCTTACTTTCATCAGAATTGGCTCAAAGAGGAAATAACATACACATTCAATTGGGTATAGAAATTTATAGTTTTTACCCTACAGAAAAGTAGGAGGGAAAGGGGGTGGGGAGAAAGGAGGGCAGACTGGGGGAGGGGGTAGTCAGAAGCAAAACTCTTTTGAGGAGGGACAAGGTGAAAGGAGGGAGAAAATAGAATAAATGGGGTTGGGGTGGATAGGATGAAGGGAAATACAGTTAGCAAAAGTAACTGTGAAAAAAAAATTTGAAGCAAGTTTCTCTGATAAAGGCCTCATTTCTCAAACATAGAGAACTGAGTCAAATTTGTAAAAATAAGAGCCAATCCCCAATTGATAAATGATCAAAAGATTTAATCAGTTTTCAAATGAAGTTATCAAAGGTATCTGTAGCCATATAACAAAAATACTCTAACTCATTATTGAATTGGAGAAATGCAAATTAAAACAATTCTGAAGTATTACCTCATATCTATTAGATTGGCTAATATGACAGAAAAGGTAAATGACAATCATTGGAGGGGATATGTGAAAAAATGAGACTTTAATGCAATGTTGGTGGAGTTGTGAATTGATTCAACCATTCTGTAGAACAATTTGGAACTATGCCCAAAGAGCTATAAAACCATGTATACCCTTTGATCTAGCAATACCACTACTAAATCTGTATCCTAAAAGAGATAAAAAACCAAAAGGAAAAGGACCTATATGTACAAAAATATTTATAGCAGCTTTTTGGGGGGGGGCAAAGAATTAGAAGTTGAGGGGATATCCATCAATTGGGGAATGGCTGAACAAGTTGTGGTACGTGATTATGATGGAATACTATTGTACTCTAAGAAATGATGAGCAGGATGCTCTCAGAAAAACCTGGAAAGACTTGCATGGGCTGATGCAAAGTGGAATGTACTGGGTACAAAGTAACAGCAATATTGTAAGATGATTAGCTGTGAATGACTTAGCTATTCTCAGCAATACAATGATCTAGGACAACTCTGAAGGACTTATAATGAAAAATGGTATCCAGCCCCAGAGAAAGAATTGATGGTGTCTGAATACAGATTGAAGCATACTTTTTTTGGTAAACTTTCTTTGTTTTTCTTGAATTTTTTTTGTCTGTGTTTTCTTTCACAACATGACTGTTATGGAAATGTTTTGCATGACTAGACATGTACAACCTATGTCAGATTGCTTGCCTTCTTAGTGAGGGTGAGGGGGGGTGGGGAGGGAGGGAGAGAATTTGGGGCTCAAAGTTTTAAAAATGAATGTTAAAAATTGTGTTTACATATAACTGGGGAGAAATAAAATACTAAATTAAAAAAAAAAAAGAAAATCCATTGAGCTAAATCTCCATGTTTCACAGCATTGCTCCTCACACACAGGAGCACTCTCAGCATGGTGAAACTTGTCCATCCAAAGGAGTCAACCAGAGGTGTGAATTCTGGGGGCCTCAGAGCCACTGCAACCAGCAAGAGTTAACAGGATGAACTACAGGATTCCAGGCCAGAGGAGTCCACACCTTCTCTGGGAGGTCCTAAAGGGGTGTGGCTACTTCCTATAAAAGGAGAGCCTCCTGCTCAGAAGCACTGCCTTGAGTGGAACTGAAGTCTCCTCATCTCAGTTGCTGCAGAAAAGAAGCATTTGGAGAGAGAAGAATGGCTGCTGCTATGGAAATGCTGCAGGAATTGCAGAGCAAAATCACCTGTAGCATCTGTAGGAGCTACTTCTCTGAGCCAGTCACTCTGGAGTGTGGGCACAGCTTTTGCAGAGCATGTCTATGCTGGAGCTGGAGAATTGGAGCTCCAGCTTTCTCTTGTCCTAAATGCAGGCAAGTGTCCCAGGTCAGAGAATTCCCAGTAGTCAATAGGCACCTAGCACAGCTGACTGACCTGGAAAAACAGCTCAGCTCCCAACTTTTGCAGAGTATTCAAGGACAGAGCCAGTGTGTCAGGCACAAAGAGGTCTTCAAGCTCTTCTGTGAAGATGACCAGACACCACTCTGTGTGAGATGTTCCCAAAGCCCAGAACATGGGGCTCACATGATCTGTCCTATAGAAGTGGCTGCTCACAATTGCAGGGAGAAGCTCCAGCACATTCAGAGTCACTTAGGGAAGTGTTTTGAAGAATCTAAGAAACTTCTTGCTCAGGAGAAACCTGCTGTTGACTGGCACTGGAGGATCGGAGTAGAATACAACAAACTGCACTGCTTCCTGATGGAGGAAGAATCCCGATGTCTAGGAAAGATAAAGCAAGAGCAAAGGGCAAGCGAGGACAGACTATCCCAGCACATACAAAGCCTTCAGGACCTCATGCTAGAGCTGCAGGAAGCAGACCACCAACCCAATGTGGATCTGCTACAGGATGTCAAGCAGTTGCTGAGAAGGAGTGAGTCAGTGTTGTCCCAAAGGTCCAAGGCTGTCCTCCCAGAGCTGAGGGAATATCCCATCCCTGGCATGATAGAGTTACTCAGCCGATTCAGAGTGGACATCACAATGAATCCTGGGCCAACAAGTCCCTGTGTAACTGTTTCTGAGGATCTGAAGAGTGTGAAAGCTGGAGAAGCCTGGCAGGCAGGGACCAAGCAACCTGAAGACTTGACTTTCTATGCTGTCCTTGCTAAGCAGGCTTTCAGCTCAGGCAGACAGTACTGGGAGGTGGATGTGACTCAACTACCTCAGTGGGTTCTGGGGATCTATACCCCTTATTTAAGGAGAAAAAGGAGGAGGAATGTGGACTCCTGTGACTCTGTGTTCCTGCTTCAATGTGTCAAGAAAGAAGAGGATTACTGTTTCCAAACCTATCCTGGACCATTGAAACATCGAATGAAAGGCTCAGTGCCCAGGGTTGGAGTGTACCTGGAATATTCCTCTGGCACCCTTGTCTTTTACAACGTTCTGCAGAGCTCCCTCATTTATAGATTTGATTCTATTTCCTTTGCAGCACCTGTTACACCCATCTTTTCTCCTGGCCCTCCACTTCCAGGAATAAAGGCTGGTGCCATGACTCTCTGTCCAGTGGACTCTCATCTCTGTGCTTGCTGCTCTTCATCTCTCTGAACACTTCTCCAGGGAAGACTTGTGAACCCACCACCAGGCTCCCTGACTATGGGCCTCTGATTTCCAGCCTTCCCCTGCAGGAGGATGATCATCACCTACTTCATGATGAAAGAGAGGCTCCCTGGAGCAGCCGGAGACCTGCCTTCCACACTGCAAGCTGAAAAGGATTGTTCCCAAATGTTTTGTGTGCTTTTATCCGGATCCTGTCTGCTTATGAATTTTCACAATAAATTAATTGTGTTTCAGCAGTTAAAAATACTCACAGAATGGCTGTGGTTTCCATACTTTATGTTTCATTTTCTTCAAGGATGTCCTATGAGGTCCATAGACTCCAACCTTTTCCAGTCCTATACCCCTTGAATTACAGTAAACCTTCCTTTTTGCCCTATTTAACATAAAATGACCTAAATTCTAGTATTTACTGTGAAAAAAAGAAGTCTGTTGGAAAGGCTTTCCAGATGGAGAAAAATGTCAAAGAATGTTCTTGAAGGGGGAAAAAGTGTTGTTTTCTTTTGTTTTCATTGCTTTATTGTGTCTGTTAGAAAACCCAGACTCCTCAGATTTATCCTGTGCCTTAGAGCTGACCTGGCTCACCAGCTATTGAAACCCTTTGCCTGGAGAGACTGCCCCCTTGCTTTCCGTGATTCTAAATCCCAAACTGGCAGATTACAGGAGAGAGAGACTTAGCAAGACAGAGTTTGAGTGCTGATGGTGGCCCCCTTGGTAGGTAGTCAGTGGATGAATGACACCAATGCCATTTTACTAGTGAATAAACAGGCTCCTAGGGCCTTGGCAGAACTCACATCCTGCACCAGGATAGAAGCCTAGGAGTCTGACTCTCACTGTCTCTGGGCTGTCTTTCTAAGTGGAGCAGACCAAATGGGACTTCTTTGTGCTGCTCCATGTTCCTCTCCCATCACTTGCCAAATGTTTGAACCCATATCTCTCCCCAACTTGATCATGGACTGGTATCCCTTCCTGAAAACTGAGGTTCATAAGGTGCTTTTTGTTTCCATATCTGAGATTCTCAGCTTTGATTAATGTCTGAAAGCACCAATTTTTTTACTCAAAAAGAAACACAACATTTCTGCTCCAGTAGGGAAGAGGAATGAATGTCTTAGAATGATGATACCTGGAGGGTCAAAGGAGGGTCTGAAAGGAGAGACATTCCCTGATGGGTAGAGCATGATCTGGTCCTTCTCCATCTCATTATCAGGGCCATGGTTATTTCATGGAAACTAGAGTAGGGAGGATTCTATTAGGTGAGTTTGCTCTTGGGCTCTTGACTGCCTTTTCTGCTTTGTTTCTTTTCTTGAGTAGATGACCAAGTACCAACTTGAAGTGGTTCTGTCCAGGTTTGGAAATGGCCTCATGAGCTGGGAGGTTCACAGGTATTGGGGTGATTGAGTGACGCTGAGTAGACTGATATCTGAGAATTAATTAGGATTAGACTAAATTATGGTCTCATCTGAAGTAAAGGGTCATTGACAAGTGACAAGTGTTACAACTAGGGAAAAGTGAATGGGACTTTGCTTCTGAGTATCAAGATTTAAAGGGTCCAAAGACTGAACATGCATAGTCTTTAAGAGCCTAGAAAGAAGTAAGTTTATCAGCTAGGTACAGAAAATATTAGTCAAAACAGGAAGCTACTAATGAGTCATTGTTAATAATACTCATCTGCTGAAGAAATTAAAGCCATCTATAGTCGTATGAAAAAATGGTCTAAATCACTATTGATTAGAGAAATGCAAATCAAAACAACTCTGAGGTACCACATCGCACCTATCAGATTGCCCAACATGACAAAACAGGAAAATGATAAATGTTGAAGATGTAGGAAAATTGGAACACTAATGCATTGTTGGTGGAGTTGTGAAATGGTCCAACCATTTTGGAGAGCAATTTGGAACTATGCCCAAACAGCTATAAAAATGTGTATACCCTTTGACCAAGCAATAGCACTTCTAGGGTTATATCCCAAAGAGATCATACAAATGGGAAAAGGACCCACATGTAAAAAAATATTCATAGCAGCTCTTTTTGTGGTGGCAAAGAATTAGAAATTGAGAGGATGCCCATCAATTGGGGAATGGCTGAGCAAGATGTGGTATATGAATGTAATGGAGTCCTGCTGTGCTATAACAAGTGATGAACAGGCTGACTTCAGAAAAACCTAGAAAGACTTGTATGATCTGATTCTGAGTGAAGTGAGCAGAACCAAGAGAATGTTGTACACAATAACAGCCACATTGTGTGATGATTAATATTGATTAACTTAACCCTTCCCAGCAATAAAAGGATCTAAGACATCTCCAGAGACCTTGTGATGGAAAATGTTACCCACATCCCACAGAAAGAACTATGGAAATTGAATTGCAATTTTTTTTCTCTTCTGTTGAATTTTGTTTCCTCTTTCTGATGGTTCCTCCTATTGGTTTTAATTTTTACTTACAACATCACTAATGTGAAAATATGTTTAATATAAATGTAAATGTATAGCCTATATCAGATTGTGTGCCATCTTGGGGAGGGTGGTGGGGAAGAAGGGGGAGAAAAATTTTAAACTCAAAAGCATATGGAAGTGATTATTGATAAATCAAAATAAATTAATAAAAAAATTAAAAAAATAATACTCATCTGCAAGACACTTATTTAAATAATCCTCCTCCTGCCCAACTGAATTTGTCTTAATTGCTTCTTGTTTTATTCTTCCATCATAATTACAAAGCTAATCTGAAGGCCTGATTTGCGCTGCTTGACCAAAATGCCAAAATTGCTAGATATTTCCCTGGTAAGTATAAAGAAGACATAAAGACTATAATATCAAAGTCAGCAAATAGTGCCCAAGAAAGATTTAGGCCAAAACTGGGGTGCCTACATCTACAGGTCAGCAAAAAAAAAAAAAGATATGCTGAGTAAAAGGTCAAGTCAGGGTTACTGAGCATCCATAGCCGTAGGTAACTTACTTTGTTCACCTGCTGCCTTGCTTATGAGCTGAGGGGGCATAGTTTTGTCCATAATTCTCCATTTTTCTTGAGGAGTAATTGATGTATTATTTCAGGTGATAGTGGAGAGGATCAAGAATTGGACAACTTATGAGCTGTGGTCCTGGGCAATGGTTTGGTCAAAATCCTGGATTCTCAGAATGTTTTCAGAGTCAGCAGCCTCAGCAGTGACAATAGAATAGTCTATGTTCTTAACCTAAAGAACCTGGAAGTGAACTATCAAGTTCCCTTCCTAATCCTCTTCCCAATAAGGCAACACTGACAAAACTTTTCAACCTATGAGTAAATTTCTGCCAAGGGTTGTCATGTGCCACTTTCATTAGACCTTGTTTACATATACTAATAGAACAAATTTCAAAAGTTCAGAGAAATAATAGTTACAATCCAATGGACTAAAATTTTTCAGGAAAAAGGGACCCACTATAGAACAGTGTTCTAGCAAGTAGGGAACGGTTCATTCGTTGCATCTGTATTCCTAGAACCTCGGGCACATAATAGATGCTTATTAACTACTTATTGATTAATGGGTTTCATTTGTTGTATTTTTATATACACATTTATATACAGACTCTCTTATTATAACATAAGCTCTTTGAAGGCAGGAAATGTTCTTGCTTTTTTTCTTTGTATCTCCAGAGCTTAACACAGGGTCAGACACATAAGAATTTAATAAATGTAGGTTGATTGACTGATAAATGAGTCAGAATGACAAATCTTGAGGTCTGGTCTCTTTAGAAGGCAAATAAAAGATGCATGAGTTTAAACTGAGACCTACGGTTTGAGAGGGCATTGAAAGTAATAGAAAGACACAAAAAATATTAATACTAATAATCAACAATGAGTTTGGGACTTGAAGGAAAATCATTGTGGTTGGCTACAGCTAGCTGTCCCTGCAGAATCAAAACACTCAGTTGCAGAGTCCTCTCCAGTGCCTAGTTTCATCTGCTCTGATTGGAGTGTGCTGGGGAAGTTAATTGAAAAAGGAACTTTTGGAGCAACCCATGATTGTATGAACTCATAAAGAACTCAGAGGCTTTCTATCATCACACCCACACACAGCCTCTGGACAGAGAGAGAATTTTAGAAGAGCCATATACACCTTCATTTTATTAAGTTTCTATTATGGCTGTAGATAATTAAAGAAGGACTCTTTCAACAGAATCTAAGAAATAAAAATTTAAAATATATAACAGGCAATATAGTGAGATGGAAGAGAGTCAAGAGACCCAAGTGCTATAGAACAGGAGAATCTCAGAACTGGAAGACTTCATTCCAACCCATACCTGGAGAAAAAAATGACCTCTGCTGCATTTCTAGTAAGTGATAATACAGCCTCTGTTTAAAAAATTTATTGTAAGAGAGTCCCCACTGCTTTTCAAGGAAGCCTATTCATTCGATTTTGGACAGCTCTAATTCTAAAGAAGTTTTTTGTTTTTTTTTTTAAGATTAGCCTGTCTGCAATCACCAACTCCTCTTAGTTCTGCCCTCAGAGGCTAAGTAGAATATAAGTTTAATCTCTCTTCTACATTACATTTTTAAAAATACTTGAAGACATTATGTCACTATCTCTTCACCCTTCTTCCACACCTTGTCTTCTCTTCTCCAAACTAAACATTGCCAATTCCCTTAATAGATGTTCATATAGCATGGTCTTCAGAAGGCCAACTTCCCCCACAGAATTTTAGTCTATTGGATTGTAATTATTCCTTCTCTGAATCCTTTGAAATTTAGTATATTAGTATTAGTATATGTAATATTACACACCCACAATTGCCCATGTCTACAAAGAAAGGAAGAGGGTACATTTTCTCATTTCTTTTCTAGGGTCAAATTTGGTCATTCTAATTACACAGCATTCAGTTTGTACTTCTTTTTTCTTAATTTTCATTTGCACCATTGTAGTAATTGTATATATTTTATCCTGATTCTGTTTACTTCACTCTGTATCAGTTCATACAAGCCTTCTTGTGCTTCTCTGAATTCTTTTCCAGAATTTCTTATAGTATGATAATATTCCAATATATCCTTCTGCCACAACTTGTTTAGTCATTCCTCAAATCCAAGAGTAACTACTCTGTTTCCATTTCTTTCAGACAAATATGTGTTTTCCTGGCCCTTATTCTGTTTTCTCCATTCTTGGCCAAGAGACTATTTTC